CATCTCTCCAGCCCCTCTAGCATAATTTTTAAAAGTTATTTATTTATTATTTTGTATCATTATTGTTTTTGCAGTACTGGGATCTGAACCTAGGGCCTGCACATGTTAGGAAAGAAATCTATCACTGGATTTATCTGCAGCCACCTCCTCCCCACTTCTTTAACTTTGTGAGGCATGTCTCTCACTAAATTGCCTAGGTAGGCCCTTGAATTGGAAGTGTGTGTGTAAATCAGAGGACAACTTGCAGGAATTAGTTTTCTCCTTTCACCACATGGGACTCTGTGATCAAACTCAGGCCACTAGGCTTGAAAGCACTGCCTTTACCCACTGAGTTATCTCTGGGCCCCAGGCCCTCAAATTTGAGATCCTTTTCCCTCAGTCTCCAAAGTAGTTGGGATTACACACCTGCACTGCACCACCAAACCTAACACTTAGAAAGTACTTTACACACACACACACATACACACACACACACACACACACACACACACAGAGGCAACTATGAAAAACAGAATGATACACTTATAAAAGGAAAATATTTTATTCTATGGTATGAAAAAGTACAAGCTTTAAATCAATAGACATACATACAAACATACATACATCTATATTGTAAACTCATCAAAAATACTTTGTGCTCACGTAATAAATTATAAATAAAACTGATCACATAAAACACTTCATTTAGTTCATCTAATTCTCATAACTCAATGAATGCATACCCACATAGACATACTGTTTATAGTTATACCAGAAAAAGATAAGTACCACCTATCTGTAACCTCTGTGAAATGGTGGGGTGTTTTGGAGTGGGAAGGGCATGAAAGTGAGAGAAGGATTTTTTACTTGTTTACTGAAAAATAATCTTAATATTTTATAATACGTCCTCTTAAAATTAAAGATGTCTTCAGAGTTTTTAATAGAAAGGTAGGAGAATTTTTAGAAGAGAAAATGGCAAAATATTTTCATCTTTAGAAAGTAGGTCTTTAGATCATGAGCATGTTGTCTATCTTAAAAATAGAATTCTAAGATTATATTCATCAACAGTCTGCTATACAAATTACTGTATCCAGTGAAATGATGTCAGAAGGCAAGCATGGTGCATGACATTCACATGATTAAAGGATCACATCACTAGCTCCCTCTCTCCATGCCTTAAAAGGAGGTTTAAGAAATGAAGCTCACCCTATACAGCATTTTAGTACCATTCGTCTACTACATCGACTTAGCATCAACAGCTAGGGTTATACTTAATGGCAAAACAATTGTTAGTGAAAATAAAAGTTCCTATTTAAAATGTAAAATCTTCTCAGTCTAACACAATACAATTAAAGGTCTACTAGGGGACAGGCTTTGAGGCAGAGAGAAATAGGAGAGTAGAAATACACAGCATACTTCTGTGTCTGAGTAGCTCAGTTTAAAGGCATATTAGCCTACAACAAGTAAGAGCTAATGCAGCAAGCAGAAAAGAATGTCCAACTAACCACTAGCTTTCAATCATTACAATTATTATTCTTTTATTTTCTTCACCTACAAAGCTATTCTTAGATTTTTGAGAATTTCTAAATTATACTCAATAAGAATGTGTACACACAGATTTTATAAGAACAGTAGCTCAGTAAATATTTTTCAACCCAGCTTTCTAACAAAATGGAATTCAGAGGCTCAAAATATTACAATTAAACTGAGTGTCTGCTTTGTTACTCAGTAAATGAGTAAATTTTATAAGAAAATCTATACACACTTTCTTAGTGATGGTTCTTAAATAGGGGCAAGTTTTTCCCAAAGTTACATATTTGTCAATTTCTGGAGCTATTTTTGCTTACCACAACTGGTGTGTACATGTAAATGTTCCTGTCATAGAGAGGTTAGAGGGGAGACACTGCTCAATACCCTACAATTCACAAGCAGCCTTCCTCTCAAACCATTATCTGGTTCTCTAAGACAAGAGTGTTGACACCAAAGAACCCTGATGTACAGTAACAGCTCACCGTCTATAACACAAAGTATTAAATTAAGCAGGCTTATCTCCTTAGAGTTAGAAAAAAACTTGCAAATTAGTAAAAAGTAAAAAATAAGCTGGTATGGTGATGTACGCCTTTAATCCCAGCCCTCAGGAGGCAGAGGCAGATGGATCTCTGTGAGTTCAAGGCCAGCCTAGTCTACATAGTAAGTTCTAGGCCAGGCCAGCCAGGGGTAGTGAGATCCTGTCTCAAAACAATCAAACTAAATGAAAAACTCAAAAACTAAAATAAACAAGTGCCTCATATGCGAGGCACTATCCTACCTCTAAATACTGAAATATTACTCAAGAAGCAAAGAAATCTTCCCAAGATTGCTTTGTTAGTTAGGGTTGGACTGTAAATCTCCATCTGTTTGAGCTAAAGCATCATGTTTCTTCCACTGTATCAATAAACAGGCAAAGAAAGTTTTATTAAGTCTAAAGTTAATGGGTTTATTTATGGAAGAGTTCAGACCTCAACTTGGGGCTCAGTCTTTCTGTAGAGAGATAAGTCTGGCTGCCTGGTTTCTAAACCCATAAATGACTGAAGACAGCAAGCAGAATGCCTACAATAAGCTAGCATCAACTCCACGGGAAAACGCAAAAATTATTTTTAAACAATGGTTAAAAAACAAAACAAAACAACCAAACAGTCAAGGGTCTTCATTACAGAAATTAATGCACAGCCTACAGCGTAGGGAGGAAAAAGGAGAAACAAAAAGAGGAATTGGGAAAGGAAGAAGGTAGGGAGGGATAAAGGAGGAAGGTAGAGAGGAAGGGAAGGAGGGAAAGGCAGAGGGAGGAGGGGGGAATGGTGAAAAAGAAGACAGGAAATCAGGGGCAAAGCAGCAGAAAGAGGGGAGGGAGAGGGGAAAGGAGGAAGGAAAGGGCAGGAGAGAACTTTACAACACAAACCAAGAAGCTCAGACCAAGAAGAAAAAAACTTAGTGCTGTGTTGTAAGAAAAATCAGAGGCAGGGAAGAAAATGAAGAAAGGTAAGGCAAGAGGGAGAAGAGAGACACTGACCCTCAACCAAGAAAGCCTGAGACATAATTCAAGTGTAAAATATGTTTGATTTTGAAGAGTTCCTATAAAGCAGTTAAATGATAGTTAATGTTTTGTGCTTATTACATCAAATAGTAATATTTTAGATCGAATAGTGAAAAATACCGAATTTCATATATATTTCCTCTCTTTTTTTTTCTTTTTGTTTGCATGTTTGCTTCTTGAGACAGTCTCCCTGTGGCCCTACTGATTTGGAACTCACTATGTAGACCTGACTGGTCTTGAACTCACAGAGATCCGCGTGCCTCTGCCTCATGAATGCTGGGACTAAGAGTGTGTGCTACCATGCCCAGACTAGTGTTTACATGTATTTCTACTGGACAGCACTGTTCAAGATTTTTAAGGTTGCTTAGGACCCATGCTAGTGCCAGAATATCAGTTACAGCAATCATGGCCATCATTATAAGCACCCTGAATTTCCAAGATGTTAGGTTGGCAAGGCATACAGAACTACATATCGGGGTGTCCAAATCCAATTATGACAGCAATCCCAAGTCTACTGAAATTGTTTTTAACACTTTAACATGGGCAAATGAAGTTTATTTGAGTTACATGAAGATCAGAAAAATAAAACTGAGATTTAATACGAGAGAGTAAGACTGGAAAACATTACACTAGAACATTAGCTTTTAAAGATTTGATACTGACATTCACATTGGAGAACAGTATTTAAAGATTTCAATATATTCATAAAATAAAAACACATACAGACATTATTTTGGAAAATCCCTTCCCCAGTACCTATATGATAAACCTGTTTTTTTTTTCAATA